AGAGTCGGGCGGCTTTGCGGCAGATGAGCCTGAACCAGTAGAGCTGGGGGGCGATGAGGGAGGCGTTGGCTATGTTGCAGTGCAGGGGGATGCGGAAAGGCACCATGTAAATGGGGATTCCCACCTGCCTGGCGTAGGCCGCGTACATGAAGGGGAAGAGGAGAATACGGCAGAGGAAGAAGGTCACCAGGATGAGGATCCCGTTCACCTTGTGCAGGAGGGTGTCCTGCATTTTGAGCTGGGGAAGGAAGAAGGTGAACGCGGAGTGAGCAGCACCCCGTTGCTCCTTGGGCACTGACTGTGCTGGGAGCATGGAGAGGAGCACCTGGGAGGTATGGATGAGGGGGAGCGCTTTGGAGGGAGCAGGAAAGTGGGGTGGAGGAGAGCAGGGGGGAAGGGAGTTGGGGGGGGGCAGAGGGCTGGGGCAGAAGGGAGGGTGGTGCAGAGGGAGGTGTAGGCAGGAGGGGGCAGCACCAGGACACGGCACAGTCCCCAGTTCAGGGATGCTACTAGGCATGCTGCTTACTGGGGGAAAGGGATGGGGGACCTAACAGGAGGAAGGCAGCACTGCGGGGAAGCTTGGGGTTACAGCTGTGGGGCTGCCCCTGGGGTGGGGAGAGGCTACGAGCTGCTGTGGGATTCCCAAACCCAAGCCCCTTCCCTCCTCACCCACCTGCATGAGGATTTTGCCCAGCGATACGAAAGGCGTGCTCAGCTCTGCTATGAAGATGCAGCCCACGAAGAAGTCCCCCAGTTCTCCCCTGAAGTGCTGCAAATAAAGCCAGCAGTGAGCACAGGGACATCCTGGAGAGGTGGCCCAGACTGAACACCAAGCATCTCCAGGGGCTCCTGGGCTCCCGACCAGCACAGAAGCTTTGCCAGCCACAGCCTCGACCGCAAGCCCTTGCAGCCGTGCGGGGCTCCTCGCAGGCTGGGTTCCACAGCGGCCGTGCCCAGCCCTTACCTGGGTGACGGGAGTGAGCACGACGAGGATGAAGAGGTGGTGGGTCACCATCAGCCGCTCCTGCAGGAGGAAGCTCCGCACGCTGGCCAGCGAGTGCTTCTCCTCTGTCACTCCCCTGTCCCGGCTCTTGTGCCAGTGGCAGAGGTACATGACGTAAATGTCGTAGGTCATGTAGGGAACGAGGACCCAGATGTATTCTACGGCCAGCCAGTGCCTAGGGGAGGAGCAGCACACACGCGGGCATCGCAACGGCTCCGAGCACCTCGCGATGCTCTGGACGCTGGAAGAGAGTCTCTAGGTCTGAAATGGAAGCAGTGGATTTCAAAGCTGACGACAAGCTGAGAGGTATCGAAATTTAACTTGATTTGGCTTGGCAGAGAAAAAGTACCTGGTACGCGCGGAAGACGCCTCCTGGACGGTGCCCCTGCTTAGCGCTTGGCCGTGCCAGGCACCGAGCTCGGCCCAGCCGAGCACAAACACGGCGCTAACGGGAAGATCTTGATTAGCCCTGCAGCCGGGTGTTTGCTGTGTGGGCTGGGAGCACAGCAGTGCTCGGGATCCCGCGCTAATCCGACACTTTTGCAGCAGGTAATCTTCTTCCCTAAGCCCTGGGACACCCAGAGCTGATGCTTGGTAGGAGAAAAGCTCCAAGACTGTGTCCTTTCTGCCTGCCACACCGCTCCGGCTGGCTGCCTAACCCGGGGAGCATTTGGAAAGCACCCGGAGACCTCAGAGTTAATTAGAGATGCCTGGCCTGGACTTCGGAGAGGGAAGTACAAAATATCTAATATAGGCAATAAACCCCTGCGAGACGTTCGTCTGTTGGGAAATAATTGCAGGCAGCTGCCTCTTCCCAAAGCATGTCAGAATCCTGGTTGCACAACCCGGGTGGCAGCAAGCCCTGCTCTGCAGGGAGACCAGGCTCCTTAAAAAGTCCTGAGTGAAATCACACTGATTTAAAACAAACAAACAAACAAACCAACCCAACGTCTAAACCACCCTACACTGCTGCTTAAAGAAATGTAGCTTGGGGCCCAAAGAAATCTGCTTTTGCTCTCCTGGCATCTCAAGAGTAATTTTGTTGCATGCATTCCTATTTCAGATAGAAAGATGTAAGTGATGTAAAGCAGGGAGGGGAAGTGTCCGGCTATTGTGTTTGCAAAACTTGCCCAGGGCTTTGGAGGGCAATTATAGTGCCAGCAATATAATGATTGTCTGCCTGTGTAAATAAATTGGCAAATTTCACCACAACCTTTGTGACGCTTCCTGGCTTTCTGTCTTGCTGTCATTCTCCGAGACCTTCCCCGCTGAGCACTGGGCCGTATTTCCTCCAGATTCAAAGAAAATCTAGGTCTCTGATCACAAAATGTGCGTTGAGCCGTTGGCCTTGAGAGCACCCCGGTAAGCACGCAGCTCCGGGGACAAGGAGGGCTCCTGGCAGCGCCTTCCTTCTCCGTGGGTCTGGGATTTATCATCTGACCTATCTATACAGCAGATGTTTTATTTTAGAGCAAAAAGGTAACTCATTAGACTGCCTGGGTGAAGCAGGACCGAGCAATTTGGATAGATCTCACCATCTAGAGCAAGGTAGGACATTTCACATCTGGCTATTAAAGGCAAGTCTGCCATGACCGAGAGGACAGCCCTCCCTAAAATCCAGTGCGATAGGCAAATTCCAGCTCAGCGTAATTATATTCTTCCCTCCTACAATTTTCTCTGCTATTCTGGATAATAGCTCTGTTTTTAAGCCTTCTGACCCAGATTTCGCGATCACTCCTGCCGAGAGCCACTTCTGGGGTAGTTTATCTCGGAGATTGAGGACAAGGCAACGTGATTTTCCTTCAAAGCAAACTTCATACTGATTTTTCTCATTTCCGGACTCTTTCAGCATCCATTTGGCATAGAAAAGGTGATGCGCCTCTAAAATCAGTTCTCACTAGGCCTGATTCATTAGCAATTTCGGATTGCAGCAAGGAGACTCCCTACCCCTTCAGAAGCGATGATGTCTTTATTTTTTGCTCGTTTATGGGCCCACGTTACAGCCCATCCTCAGGAGGAGACCCTCCGTGCTGGCAGAGCAGCCCCAGGTCCGAGCGCTCTGAACAAGCCAGCGTCTTTTTGGGGGGGGGTGTGTGTGCGTACGGCCAGCATGTTGCCCAACCCTTCACCCAAAGCGGAGGAAAGAGGAACATGAAACTGGTTTTCCTCTCCCCTTTGTACGTGCAAGCCGTTGGCATAAAACACTCCAGGCGTGAGCTGGCCGGACACCATCTCCGCACGATCCTCGCAGGACGGCAAGGCTGTCGGAAGGGATTACCTGTCGTATACAACATCCTTGCAGTTAAGGACGACCGTGATCCCCGACGCTGTTGCCATCGTGGCTTGGACCGTTGACACCAACCTGGAACCGCGAGAGAGGAAACGGGTCACCCCGAGCGTCACCCCAGACGGGCCGAGGAGCAGGGGTGGC